GAAGGGGAAGAGGAGGGAAGATTACGGAGTGGTATGGAAGTGGAAGGGGAGGGGAAGGGAGAAGGGGAGGAGAGAAGGGAGGGGAGGGGAGAGGGGAACAGAGGGGAAGGGGAGAGGAGGGGAAGGGGAGGGGAGGGGAAGGGAAGGGAACGGAAAGGGAAGGGAAGATTACGGAGCAGTATAGAAGTGGAAGGGGAGGGGAGAAGGGGAGAGAAGGGGAGGGGAAGGGAAGGGGAAGGGAAGGGGAGGGGAAGGGAAGGGGAAGGGGAGGGGAGGGGAAGGTGAGGGAGGAGGAGGGGAGGGGAAGGGAAGGGGAAGGGGAAGGGAAGATTACCGAGTGGTATAGAAGTAGAAGGGAAGGAAAGACGGGGGAGGGGAGGGGAGGGGAGGAAAGATTACAGAGCGGTATAGAAGTAGACAATGGAGTAACGTTGACCAGGGATGGGGCAGGAGGATGTGGGGAATTTTCGTACAATGGGTGTAAAGTTACAGTTATACAGATGAGTAACTTCTGGAGATATGCTGTACAACATAGTGCCTGTAGTTAACAGTAAGATATTTACTTCAAAATGTGTTCAGAGGGCAGATCTCATGTTGTGTCCTTACCTCCCCATTCCCCCCAAAAAAATAGACACAAGTAAACTTTGGGAGGTGCTTTATGTTACTGGATTGTAGTGACAGTAACATGAGTATATGCATGTGCCTAAACTCACCAAATTACATCCATTATGTACGGTTTTCTACAAACCAGTTATACCTCAACAAAGCTAGGGCAAAGAGGGAAAAAAATGCAACCAGAAAGAAAAGATGTTACCTACGGAGAAACTACAATTAAACTGGCAAGTTTGTCCGTAACAAAAATGAAGCCAGATGACAATGGAACAAAATGTTTAGCAGATGACAGGCACTCGGCAAGTGAGCAATAAACCTTGCTACACCTCTCAAAGAAAATATTATGGAGAAATAATAAATCACTCTCTCAGTGTTTGTTTTCCTTTCTCATGGAGTGCAGTATTATTCACTCCCAAGTCCCTAGGGCCCTAGGGAAAGTTCTCCTGGGAAAATTAAAGAGAAACAGAAACAGAAAGCTGTCACGCGGGAAAACAATTCTGGTTTTGTTTCTTCAATGAGGAAAGTAACAGAGAAGCAGATTTTGCTAAAGAATTAGTACTTCTTAACATTCCAAGTTTTCCCCAAGACAGAAAGGGAGGGTAGGAGGTGGTGGGTTCCCATTCTGGGATGTGTTCACCGACAGACTGGCCATCACGAGGTAGAAATGTCCCATGGGGCCATAAGGAAATGCCTGCCCAATGGCCTTGCAGCGTCCTCCAGGGCTCTGAGACGTACTCTAGGATGAGGCATTGGTCTTTCGCAGGGTGACTGTCTCTGACCAGGTAATAGGACTCTGAGAGAAGCCCAGGGGAGTTAGCAAGAGCCTCACAGCCCAAAGCACTGAAATGCTCTATAGAACAGCAATCCTGAAATGTGGACTTTGTCACCACCCTAGGAGGACAGGCTCCACCCACTCTACCGCACCTCTACCGAGGGCCTTGGGGAAGGACGTCCAAGGAAGACACCCCTGAAGAAGGGGCAGGCCCCTGTCTTCTGTTGCCAGCATCTTCCCAGTCTCCTTTTGACGGTGATTCCAGCTCCCATAACCCAAATCCTGACCACTGCTCAATACCCTGGAAAAGGTCAACAGAGAAAGTCCAAGTGGTTCTGAGGGGGTTCCCAGGCCCATAGCCATCCATACACATCTGAGACCTCTGCGAAAGCCACACAAAGTCAATTTGACTTTGTCTCCCTTTTCTCAGGCCATCCTTTTGGCCTTGCAGTCCGTGTGTGTGTGTGTTTATTTTAAGAGCTTTGCTCATCATTTGTTAAGGAATATATATGACTGGAGGGTTGTACATGTTTGTACATAAGAAGTTACACAAGGAATCATAGAAACACACTGCCGGATGGAGAACCACCTTAATGATGAGGTTTATCTAAAAAGCTGGAGTTTTTGCCAATCACTTGAAGAGAAGTGTTCAGTGTCATCTGTAATATGAGAGACAGAAGATGGTTAGACTCACATACACACTGGTGAGCTCCCTTACACCTAAGGCCCCAACTAAATGCCTGGCCTTCCTCAGGAAAAGTGAAGCCATCTATCTTGAGCCCCTGTCAAGTACCAGGACCTGATTGCTTTGACCTGATTACAGGACCCTGTCTGTAACCCTGCCAGCAGCCCATGGGTTCTGTACAGTGGAAGTGAGACTCTGGGAGGTTAAGTAACCAACCTCAGCATATAGCCAGGAAGTGGCAGATCCTGGATCCCAGCTTTCTCCATCTCCACAGCTCTTTCCACCCCATCCCTCAATCCTGTGCTGATCCAACATACTTTAGCCGGGTTGGAAGGAAGAATATCAGTAGCTGTCTCCCCACCTTGGGCCTTGTCTCCTAGGATCTGTAAGCGTTCAGGTAGACATCCAACCAGTGGCAGCCTCCCTCCCAAAGGTTGCAGAAGTTCCCATTTACTGGGGAAAACCCTATTTCTTGGAAAGCACCAGCAGAGGCTGGCGGTGGGCCACTGTGCCCACCCAGGGAGTACATGTGGCTCTGCCTGGGATCAGCAATAAGGCTCATGGTCCTCACTGGGTGTCCTAGCCTCCTACCTTTGAAGCCATCATGCTGTCTTCAGTTGCCACCTAGCTCTGTGCATGGAGAGGCTGTGCATGACCTGGATGCAAAATAGGTACAGGGAGGAGCAATTAAGAATCAGGAGGCTCTGAAGTTGGACTGGCCAAGATGGAATCTGGCTCCACCACTCACTGGTTACCCAATGTTAAGCACAACATTTAGTCTCTGTAAGCCTCCATTTCTTCACTGTGAAGTGGGTCTACCAATCACCTGCCAGTCACTGTAAGGAGTATATGAGATGAGCCATATTACCACTTAGCATGGGGCCTGGTGCCAGAAACTAGCAACTCTCACTGTTGGAGGGAAAGTCATGATCATTCTTGTTTTTGACCATGCCACTGAGCAGGCCATGGCCTGGGAGAAATCACTTTTCCTCCCAAGCTTCCTTTTATTTTCCCCCTGGTGAAATGAGTGATCTTGACAGCATCACCTATAAGGATCCCTGCAGTGTTTATGACTTGGTGACTTTGGTTGGATCACTTTTAGGTAGTCGAGATCCTAAGGACACCCTGGAATCTGGTTTTGTCTGCAGACTTTTATAATTAGTTTCTTAACTCCAATATTCAGTCTTACTCCCAGGAGCATCTAGGGAATGTGGGTACATTTAACATCCAGACGTTAGGCGTCAGTGGCATTATCGATGATCAGCTGATGCCTCTGGCTGAGAAGGCTATTCTGCTTGCTGTTGGCCCCTGTACAAAAAAAAAAAAAAAACACTTCTCAGCCAGAGAAGTGGCCAAACAGCCTTCCCAGGAGAGAGGCAAAAAAAAAGGCCAGTGACTCCGGGAATCTACAGATCTGAAAAACTTCCAGCCCGTCATGGGATACTGGCTGTGTCCTCTACAGACCTGAGCCTTGGATCCCTTTCCCAGGATCTCTAGATCTTGGGAGGAGGCAAAAGTAATGATGGAGACCTGTCCTCATTTCCTCAACCTACCACAAAGTATTGCAAACGGAATGACTCAAAACAATAGAAGTGTATTGTTTCACAGTTCTGCAGGCTAGAAGACAAAAATGAGGGAGTCTGTGATGGTTGCTTCCTTCTGAGAGCTGTGCGGGAATCTGCTCTGTGCCCATCTCCCAGCTTCTGGTGTCTGCCGGCTGTCCTTTGCATTCCTTAGCTTGTGGATGTGTCAGCCCAATATCTGCCTCAGTCATCGTGTGACCTTCTTGTGTGTGAATCGTCACATCTCCCCTCTATGCACTTCTGTCTCTGTGTCCAAATTTCCCCCTTCTGTAAGGACACTAGTCATGTTGGATTAGAGTCCACCATAATGGCCTCATTTTCACTTGATTTAACTATTACCTCTCTAAAGGCATTTCTAACAGGGTAACATTCTGAGGTACTGAGACTTAGGACTTCAATATATACTTTTGGGGGGATACCATTTCACCTATCACAAGGTCCTTGGACTATTTTCATTACTTCCAAGGGTATAAGAATTAAACATTTCTTCCTGCTGATTCTTAATAATTCTGTTTATTAAGTGCACAGACTCTAGAGATTACCTGGGTTTGAATCTTGGCTCTGCCACTTACTAGCTGTATGATCTTGGGAAACCTATTAGGCCCCTACGTGTTCAGTTTCCTCAACTGTAAAATAGAAATAATAATAATATTTACACCTCTTAGAGTTCATATAAACATAAAATAAAAACACATTTACAATCCCTCATCTTATCCGTCTTCTATATCCTACCACATTTGGAAAAGGCTCCATCTAATAAAAACAGTAGAAGTATCTACAATACTTACCATGTGCCAGGTGCTAGTCCAAATACTGTTGTGTACATCAAGTCATGGCACCATTGCAGCAACTTTCTAAGGTGGGTGCTAGTGTCATCCCTGTTATACAGAAGCAAAAACTAAGCCCTAGAGAGATCAAGTCGTATAGGTACAGCCCTGCAGCCACTAAAGGGAGAAGTTAGGACCGAAATGCAGATTTGTCTGACTCCAGGGCCTTTTAGGAGCCACTGGGACTGGTTGACTGTCTAGGAATAATAAAAGGGTCTTGTAAGGATGAAAAGAATCACAGGCCACCACCTTCGCTTGCCCAGAAAGTCATTCTGTTTTCAAAGGCCTGATTCTGGAGGCTTTTCCTATAATGGTGATCTGTGCTCAGAAAACACACTCGTTTCCTTACAACAGGCCCCGTATGTGAAGGGCATGTGTCTCTCTTCCAGGCCCCAGGATGGCTTTGGAAGGCCCCCACCCCAACCCAGGAGAGCCAGGAAGAAGCAAACCATGATGTCTTCCCCCCAGGGAACAATGGTCGTTTGCCTGACATCTTGACTCTGTGGTTTTGTGTCTTCTAGGGAAGTCAGTTAGAACTGCTGTGCTGATCAAGGGGATGCTCTGTCTTTGAAGAAAGAAGAAATGGTCCCTCCCCAGCCATGGGCCACCCTCGCCAGTGACTCCAAGTGGAACTGCTTAGCTCGTGTGTGCCTGGAGGGTGCAGAAGCCCAGCGACTCTCGGACGCACCTCCCAGAGGACCAGTGGGAATTGTTCATAGTGCCAAAGTCCTACTACTGCGTTTTCAATGGGTCCTTGTACATAGTTTGCTCCTCTGCCCTAGCCCTCACCTCTTGCTATACTGGAACTGATTTGTACAATATGGGAATTTTGTTACCTTTTTAATCAAGGGCAACTTCCTTTTCCAGCACTACCATTGTAAGGATTTTTTCAGGAGGGAGGGCTAACCACCTTGCTTTTCTCTTTTCTCCTTTTCTTTTATTTTTGTTTTATTAATTTGGGGAAAGGGGTGTTAGTATTAGTGCCATGATATCTACTGGATTTTAAGTAGGGAGACTTTATTTTTAAAGGTAGGTTGAAATTTGGGAGATTTCTCGGCAGGAAGGGCTGAAATCCAGGCCTCTGTCTCAACCTGGAGAGAGGTGACAGACGACAGATCCTCCAAATCAAATTCCTTTCCAGTTCCTCCCCTGGCTGCCTTTTTGGGGGGTCCCTGCCTTACTCCCACAGAAGGCTTTATGAACTGCCAAGAGGGGATCTGGCTTCGCAAATTCTTGGCCTCTTGGGCCAGGCTGTGTCCAGCCAGCCCTGGGAGAACTGGGTAGCAGGTGGCTGACTTCTTTAAGCACCTTTCTAAATACCAGCAGAAGAGGCTCCTGCGTCTGTTAGTATGATCAGTACTATTGTGACATTAAAACAACAACAATAAGATCTTCCTATCTGGAGGGTACAAAGGTGAATGGCTTTGGTTTTCATTTCTCTTCTTCACTGCCTTTTCTCGGTGTGGTATTTGACAAGATTTTAGCTCAAAGCCTCACCATGAATTGATTTTTTTTGTTTGTGTGTGTGTTTGTTTTGGGAAAATTTTAGATACCTGAGTGCACTTTTTTTCAGTTAGTCCTACCTTTTAAAAGAAGGAAAACCAAGAGACATATTTGGTGTACATGTTGCAATATGAATTCTGGTTGCAATCCCTCCCCCGTCCCACACTGCCCCCCATTTGAGTACACCGCACAAGTCAAATGCTAGGAAGTTTGAATAAAACCAATTTTTCTAACTTGTCGCTCATTTGTTGTAACTCAATAAAGCAAAGACTAAACATTTTTATAACCTTTTCCTCTACTTTGCCTTCTTTATTGTTGTCTGGCTCCCGAGGGCTTGGTGTAAGGGTTCTGACTTGGGTACCTCCGGTTTCAAATTCATAGGGTCACATTTCTCATTTACCATCTAGGAGGGATCTGACATCACAAACTGGACTTTAAAAGTGGGATATAGGCTTGGCGCGGTGGCTCACACTGTAATCCCAGCACTTTGGGAGGCCAAGGCGGGTGGATCACCTGAGGTCAGGAGTTCGAGACCAGCCTGGCCAACGTAGTGAAACCCTATTTCTACTAAAAATACAAAGATTAGCTGGGTGTGGTGGTGTGCACCTGTAGTTCCAGCTACTCAGGAGGCTGGAGAATCGCTTGAACCCAGGAGGCGGAGGTTGCAGTGAGCCAAGATGGCGCCACTGCACTCCAGCCTGGGCAACAAGAGCAAAACTTTGGCCCCTCCCTCCCCCCCAGAAAATAACCAGATGTAAGTGTTGTTGTAGGAATCTTCAGCAGATCTCTTTGACACAGAGAAGGAAGTTATAGGTCCCCCCTTCTCCAGGGTCTCTCAAATAGATTCATAAAATAGTCAAGAGAAGAGCTTCAGAGTGGGAGTGAAAAGCCCCTCTGTGTGCAGGCTCGCCCTTGGGTGACCTGAGCTCAGTCACTCCCCCTCCCTGGGCTGCTGGCGAGTGGTAGCTGGGGCACTGCCATTTCTCTGAGAAGGTGGCTTTTAAGTATCTCTGCTCTGGTGAGGTTTAAAGAGTCCCTCACTCTTCGCACTTGACACTCATCCAGACCAGTGGTTCTCAAACATGAGTGGGCACCAGCATCACCTGGAAGGTTGGGTAGAATGTCTGATGGGCATGTCTGGGATGGGAACTGAGAATGTGCATTGCTAACAAGTTCCTCACCTTGGGAACTTCTGGTCTAGATGCTTCATTTTTATGGGAACTTACAGACTTTTGGCCAGTTTATCTAAACTTAGCATGTGTTTATTCTACAGATAAGGGAAAAGACCCACTTCCCAAAATACAGGAAACACTGAAAAGTTCAAGAATCAAAAGGGCCTGGCCTTCTCTGGGGGATGCCCTCAGTCTCCCATCCTGTGGGCTCCAATGACACCATCCCTGTCTCTGCACATAGCCCTTACCACACAGCTCTAGGATTCATTTGATCAGCTTGTCAGTTCCCCCAAGCTGGGAGCAGGAGCCATAGATTCTCCATAACTTTATACCATCTCCAAAATCCCTATAGTTCTCTTTACCACTCAGCAAAGTTGCATGTAGACAGCTATTCAAAAATAAAAATAGGCCAGGTACAGTGGCTCACACCTGTAATCACAGCACTTTGGGAGCCTGAGGAGGACGGATCACTTGAGGTCAGGAGTTCGAGACCAGCCTGGCCAACATGGTGAACCCCATCTCTACTAAAAATACAAAAATCAGTTGGGTGTGGTGGTGGGTGCCTGTAATCCCAGCTACTCAGGCTGAGGCGCGAGAATCGCTTGAACCCAGGAAGCGTAGGTTGCAGTGAGCCAAGATCACTCCACAGCACTTCAGCCTAGGCAATAGAGCAAGACTCCATCTCAAAAATAAATAAATAAATAAAACCAAAGTAAAAATAATAGCTATCTTTTTTTTTTTTTTTTTTTTTTTTTTTTTTTTTTTTTTTTTTTGAGACGGAGTCTCGCTTTGTCACCCAGGCTGGAGTGCAGTGGCGTGATCTCGGCTCACTGCAAGCTCTGCCTCCCAGGTTCACGCTATTCTCCTGCCTCAGCCTCCCAAGTAGGTGAGACTACAGGCTCCCACTACCACGCCCGGCTCATTTTTTTTTTTTTGTATTTTTAGTAGAGATGGGGTTTCACCGTGTTAGCCAAGATGGTCTCGATCTCCTGACCACATGATCCACCCGTCTCAGCCTCCCAAAGTGCTGGGATTACAGGCGTGAGCCACCACGCCCAGCCTGGCCTACATCTTCTTTTCTTTAAAAAAAGTTAAAAGTGGCTGTGGCTAACTCATCTCCCAGTTCCTGCCTGCACTGCCTTCCCTGCCTGTGCCCCAAGCACCTGGACCTTCCCCAGACCTCATCACCCACATACTGTCTTGTCCTCCCTCCCATTAATGAACATTTCCAACACTCTCTCCCTTGACAGGTGGCTGCCTTCCCCTCCTGCCATTTACCACCCTTGCACTTAAGTTTGCCACTGCAAGGCAACTTAAATAAATTTTTCACACACGATGGTATAAGATGCTATCAAATGCTTGAAAGACCCAAAGAGAAAGCCTTGATAATTGGTGGGGATGAAAACACACAGGGAAGATGGGTGTGTTCTTTTAAACACCCAGCAAAATATGTCAAGCTATCTTCCTCCACTGGAAATGATTAAAGAGTGGCAGAAACTAGGAAGGAGGTTCTTAGGGGGAATAGATGGGCAGGATTCTTGGTGAGGTGGAAGAGAGTGGTGGGATGGAGTGATCATCTGCTGCTTCTGTCTGCCCTGTACCTCTTGCACTCCTTCTCTTCCTTGAGGAGGTACTCCTATCTCCCTCTGCTCATCTCATTCTGGGGGCTTCCCATCATGGTAATCCACTCTCCCTTCTACAGCAGTGACCCACGACACTCCAGTACCTTGTTCAGGGACAGGTACAGTACCATGCATAAGACCCAAACAGGACCAAGTCAGACACTGGGAGGAAGAACTTCCTTTCCCATTCAGATGGTAAATGTGATCATGTTAGCTTGGAACCACCAGTGGCCAAAGCCCCTGCCAGGGAGAGGAAGCCAGTCCTTAAGTAGAGAGAATGAGGCCCAAAAAAATCAAGAAAAGAGACAAGGGAGCATAAAGGATGGAGCAAGGGATGATCATGGTGGTGGTGATGACGGCAGTGGTGATGACAATGTTGATATCATGTGAATCCCTGGAGCCTGCCATTCCTAAGGCCAACTCCTTGTCTTTCCAGTTTCATAAAAACCAACATATTTTCCTTTTTAGCTTAAGCTTCAAATCTTTTGAGTTGGGTTTCTGTCACCAGAAACTCAAAGAATTCTGGTGGGTTAATGAAATTATGAGATAAAAATGGAAGGAAAGATGGCAATTGTAAATAGCCATGTTGACTTGTGGCTTCAGTATTGGATGGTGCAGTTCTTAGTCCTTGCCATTCAAATGTGCTCCTGGATCAGCAGCATAGGTATCACCGGGAGCTTGTTAGAAATGCAGTATCTCTGGCCGCTACTCCAGACCTGTTAAATCAGATTCTGTAATTTGACAGGATGCCCAGATGATTCGTATGTTCAGTAAACTTGAAGAAACTCAGCTCTGAAGACACTAAATGGCTCCTCCCCAACCTCCTCCAGCACTCTAGAACTCTTTCAGTTTCTAGTGACAGAAACCCAACTCGAAATATTTGAAGCTTAAGCTAAAAATGAAAATGTGTTGGTTTTTATGAAACTGGAAAGACAAGGAGTTGACCTTAGGAATGGCAGGCTCCAGGGATTCACGTGATAGCAAATGATATCACTGGTGGTTCCAGTGGCCAAAAGTAAAGGGATGGGTGGCAAGTCTAATAACACATCACTGGCCTGTTTGCAGAGGGTAGACCCTAAGGCCCGGGAAAAGGGAGGCAGAGGAAGAACAGGGCGGAGAGTGCATGGTCCCCCAGCTGATGACATACTTGTCCTTCTAGGCCACCTGGTGCATAGCCACTTCCAACCAATAGTGCTTGGAAATGATAGCTCTCACTGGCCTGTCACAATACAACCCAGAGAGAACCAGGAAAGATGTCATCTCCCTCCTACTAATCCCTGAAAGCTCCTGTCTCCAACATCTCACAGCTGGACATACATATAAAGCACAGCAGAAAAATTATCATTGCCCTGGGCAGGGGAAGGGGGTTGATCAATAAAAATGAATAAAAAATACTTCATGAGCACATCCCAAGACATGCTGCATGTTGAGTATCCTGTAGAGTGTAAGAGGCATCCTGATCTTGATTTTGAGGAACTTAAAATCAAAGGGGGAGACCAAAATGTTCACCAGTAATTCTGAAACCTTCATCCATAACAAGCCCCCAAAGCACTACAGACAGCCCTAATCTGGATCCTTGCAGGAAAGAAATTGAACACTTACAATGAGTAAACTGGGAGTGGTTTATTAAAAAGGATTTTTATAAATGTGTGAACAGGGTTTGGAAAAACTAACAAGGGAAGATACAGAAAGACTGGCTTGAAGGGGCAAGGGATGGACAAAAGATGGCAAATACACACTAAACTTTCTGTCATACCCCACTCCACAACCACAGTAGATATTAATGATCAATCAAAGTACCTTCACCTGCTGGACTTGGTCAGGTCTTCATGATACTTAACACAATGCTCCACCTCAAATCTATTAACCTTGGAATATGAGATGAAATATGTGATGCATGCCATTGGTTGCCCAACTAATATCCATCCCCCATCCTTCCTTGCTAACAGAACCAAGATATTCCTCAGGCAGTGTCTTCATCTACTTGTGCTGCTATGAAGAAATAGTTGAGGCTGGGTAATTTATAAAGAAAAGAGGTTTATTTGGCTCATGGTTCTGTGGACTGTACAAGAAACATGGTGCTAGCATTTGCTTGGCTTCTGGTGGGGATCTCAGGTTGCTTCCACGTATGGTAAAAAGTGAAGGGGAGCTGACTGTGCAGGGATCACATGAAGAGAGGAAATAAAGTGGGGAGGGATGTCAGGCTCTTTAACCAGCTCTCAAAGGAACTAATAGAGCAAGAACTCACCACAAGGACAGCACCAAGCCATTAATGGTGAATCCACCTCCATGACAAAAACATCTCCCATTAGGCCCCACCTCCAACATTATGGATCACATTTAAACATGAGATTTGGAGGGGTCAAGCAAACCAAACTATAGCAGGCAGTAACATACTCATCCCCAGGTGAGAAACTCAATTTCCCAGCTTCCCTTGCAGCTAGGTGCAGTTAATGAGACATCACCAGAAGGCCACAGAATAGTTGGTGCTATTC